GCCTTGGAGTCAGAGGGACACGGGTCTGGCGGCTCGCCCTGCCCCTTACCTGCATGACCCTGGGGAAGTCCCCAACTGAGCCTAAGTTCGCTTGTTTGTCAAGTGGGAATAATCATGCCTGCCTTAGAAAAACCAAAAGCCTGCCTCGCAGAGTGGTTGTGAGAATTAAAGGAGATGGAAAGCACTTAGCACAGAGCCTGGCTCATGGTGAGCAGATAATAAAAGCCAGCATTGCTGTTAGTCGTCTGTGTCTCCAGGCCAAGCCTGTGTCTTGAGCTCTGGATTCATGTCTCCGCTCTGCCCAGACATCCGCCCAGGTCCGTCCTCCTCCACGACCCAAACTAAACACATCACCCGCCCTCACCAACCTCCCTGCGTTCCTTGTCCAGCGAAGGGCGCCACCACCTAGCTGGCCACCCAAGCCAGGCCATCAAGCTAGACACCCCCCTCCGTGGTTCAGGTTCTTGTCACGACAGAATTCTTACAACAACCTCTCTTAACTGGTCTCCTGTCTCTGGTGTGAGAGCATCCACGTGTCCGCCACACCACTGCTGCAGGCCACTTGCTAAATCACACGCCTGCATCTGTCACTCCCCGACCTATAGCCAGGGCTCTCCATTGCTTCCCGGGTGAAGTTCGAACTCCTGAGCTTGGTGCACAGGGCCTTCTCGGGCTGCCTGCCCACCTCTCCTTCATGCTTGGCCCTTCCTCACGTATCTCCTTCCTCCAGCTGGACTGAACCTGGCCCAGCACTTCCGCACACGTGTCCTTCCATCCTCATGTGGTGTCTTCATCTGGTCAACTCCGCTCTTCCTTCCGTGCTCGTCTCCGCATCACCTCCTCCCACATCGTCCCCACCTGCCCGACCTCTGTGCATAGCTCAGAGGTTCCTAGACTATGGGATTTCACAGGTCTGTCAAATTTCAAAAAGAATTTTGGGATCAAATAAGGTTGCCAACTTTTAATTTCGCGAAGTAAGGACATAAAATTAAAAGATTAATAAAAAGTAGATATTGCCGTCTACCATCACCATTATTTCATGGGAGAGAGGATGAGACAAGAGCTTAAGCTCAGAGTGAAGGACACTCTGGCAACCTTACACCACGCAGAGATCCACACTGCCTTGTCCGTATTTTTCTTCTTTGGCCACAGACCAGTAGACTTCTCTACAGACCGTCCTGAATGATGGTTGGGACCCAGCTGGAGGTGAGTTGTTTCTCCTAAGGAGACTGTCAGCTCCTCAGTGAGGTGTTTTTGGTGTTTTGGGGGTTTTTTTTGGCTCGAATGGAGGAGCAGTGATTAACTTTCTGGTTGGTGGTTTATGCTGTGTACGGAGGTGTGAAGTGGAGGGCGAGAGGGAGCGTGCTCAGAGTGGAAGGCGCTGCCTGGAGCTGCTCAGCCTGTGGGTCTCCCCACCCCTTCCTGTAAGTGTTTGGCTTTGTGGTTCATCCCTCCCTGCTTGTGCTCTCATCTGTGCCGCTGTTTGGCCTCCTTTTTCCTTTTTTTTCCCTCTTTTATTCTCAGCCCATTCCTATTTTCCCTCTCTGTACTCCAACCCCTGAGCCCCACCCATATCTTAACTGGTCATAATATACAATTTAAAAATATTTTGGAGCCAGCCCTCATGGCCTAGTGGTTAAAGTCTGGCATGCTCCGCTGTGGCAGCCCAGGTTTGGTTCCAGGGCGCCGAACCACAGCACCAGTCTGTCTGTAGCCATGCTATGGCAGCAGCTCACATGGAAGAACCAGAAGGACTTATAACTAGAATACATGACCATGTATTGGGGCTTTGGGAAGGAAAAAAAAAAAAGAGAGGAAGATTGGCAACAGATGTTAGCTCAGCACAAATCTTTCCCGGCAAAAAAAAAAAAATACTTTGTTGGAAAAAAATGTTTTGTGTTCTCTGTCCTTAATTTTGAGAGTTGGGCCAGTTTTTAAATATTGTGTCCTGGGCCAGCGCTAGGTCCTTTCAGCATGATCTCAGGTGATCTGTGCAGGAGGGAGCCAACCCTCTTGCTTAGAAATAAAGAAACGAGATCTAAAAGAGGTTAAGTGGGGCTGGCCCCATGGCTTAGCGGTTAAGTGCGCACGCTCCGCTACTGGCGGCCCGGGGTTTGGATGCTGGGCGCGCACCCACGCACCACTTCTCCGGCCATGCTGAGGCCACGTCCCACATACAGCAACTAGAAGGGTGTGCAGCTATGACATACGACTATCTACTGGGGCTTTGGGGGAAAAAAAAAAGGAGGAGGATTGGCAATAGATGTTAGCTCAGGGCTGATCTTCCTCACACAAAAAATAAATAAATAAAAGAGGTTAAGTGTCTTGACCTTGGCCAAGGTTACACATCTGGTATGAAGGTCTCTGCCACCTTTTATATTGGATTTCTCTATTCCAAAACCCAAGCAGGCAAACCCAAACCAATTCTCAACAGAAGTTTCTTGTTTTAAAAACTCATATGTGAAAAAAAACCCAAGAATAACTCACGTGCTGTCTTCTATTAATCTCACTTATTGGAGTATGGTCATCCATTCATTTTGTTACGAATATAAAAGTACATCTTCCAATCTTGGAAATATTAATCCAGGGGAAACACACAGCAGCAACCACTGTTAATGTTCCTAATCGTCTTTTTTCCCAGTGATTTTCCATAATTGAAATTTTACTAATTACGTGGTTTTTCAGCAAGATGCCAGGCCTGTGTTAAGGTCTGAGTTTACAAAGATGAGAAGATATACTCCCTAAGTTTGAGAAACGTTCAGTCTAGAGATGATATTTTAAATAAAGAAAAAGAATCATTCTTGGAGCCAGAAAGCTTTACCACTTATTTTTTAGAAAACTCTGGGCAAGTTGTTTAACCTCCTTGTGCCTCAGTTTCCCCATCTGTACAGTGGCAATAACAATGGTGCCCATCTCAGAGTATTGTTGTGAGGATTAAAGGAGTTAATTCATGTACAGTGGGTAGAATGGCACCTGGCACATAGTGAGTCCTTAATAAATGTTTGGTATTGTTGTCATTGTGGCTGTTGTTTTGTTACCACCAACCCTGTCACTACCACTGTCACCTCCTGGCACAGAGGGGGCCCATGGTGGTCAAAGAATCATAGTGGCTTCCTTTCTTTTGCCCAACATGCTAGCTGAAGTGGGGCATTAGGAAATATAAAATACTTGAGGAGAAATAGGAAATACTTTTGCCTAAGCAGAAAAAACACATGCTCCCCGATGTTGGTAACGTTCCGTAGCCTTTCTGAGCCTCAAGGTCTTTGTAAAACTGATGTAACAGCCCCTGCCTCGTATGATGCTACCAGGGTGAAATGAGATGACAGTACAGGCACATGAGCCACTTGGACTGGTGTATGGTGAGCCTCAACAAAGGTTGGTGCAAGAAATATTAGTAATATTTTATTAGTATGCTATTAATGTTATCGATCTAAGTTAATTTGCTCTGAGCCCGTTTCTTTGTCTGTAGAGTGGAAATGATGATTATTAAGAACAATGCAAAAGCTGCTCCTCCTTCATCTCAGGAGACAAAATGGTCTAAATCGGGGGGCCCCATGATCATCTCAGGAGCTTTTGAAAAAATCTTGTTATGTAAGATGTAATTTTATTCTGCATTAGAAAAATGTTATTCATTTTGGTAACATTCCTGGGTTGTTCGAGATAAAATTCCAACCACTTTACTCCCAGAAATCTGAGCCTCCAAAGGTTAAACATCCTTCTCTGGACTGCAGGTCATGCTGGGGGTCAGAGCTGAGGGTAGAAGCTATGTGGGTCCCCCTTTCCTCCTGAATCATCTCTTTGGATGTGGGGAGCCTTTTAAAACCCCTGATGGGTGAATCCCGTCCCCAAGATGCTGAGGCTAGAGGTCTGGGATGGGGCCTGAAAGGCCACAGATGATGCTGAACGTGGCTGAGCTTGGGAAACACTGCACCAAATGACCATCCATGGTCAGCCATGTTTTCTATGTAGTGCTGCCCCCATCCCCTGGTTTTAGCTTTCATTTTAGCACCCCCATATCCTCTCTTCATCCGTCACTCACCCCCTGCCATGGGTCTCACTGTTCTCTGCCAGGCTGAGCTGGGAGGAACACAAAAGAATAGGAGACTAGGTCCCTCCTATTTATTCTAGGTTGATTTGGGGCTAACTTGCTGTGTGACCTTGGACAAGTTGCTTTCCTTCTCTGGGCCTCTCTTTCCTCTGTACAGTGGGGAGACTGAACATGCTCTTACGTCCCTTCCAGTGATGCTAGAGTGTGGTTTCCTCCCCGCCTGGGGATGGCATACTCCCTCTGGAAACTCCCTCCCAAGCAGAAGCAGAGTCACCCTTTCCTCCACCCCTTGTTGGTCCTTATTCTACTCCTGGCTCAGGGAGGCTCGACATCTTTGTGTAAACCATGTCTGTGGTATTTTTAACTTCTCGATGGAAAGATGATAAACTGAAAAGAAAACATGTTAAAATCCAGAGCATTCCACCCATTGCCTGTCACCCCTGGTCCCTCGGGCCCACGTTTGCGGCTGAGCCGGCCTCGTGTCAGTGTTCTCACTTTGATACTTGGCCTCCTGCTGCCTTGGGTTTGCTGCAGAAACACTGTTCCCATGGAGGGGGAGGGGCCTTGTGAGGGTGTCTGGTCCACATCCCTTCGCAGGCGGTGTATGAAACCCACCCAGGCAGATAAGAACTTGTTTATTTTAAATACTTTTTATTGCAAAAAGGTGCATAGAAGGATATTAATGTTTTCTTAATTAAATTTAATTTTTTTCCCAGTTTTATTGAAAAGTAATTAACATACGTTACTATATAAGTTTAAGGCGTACAGAATGATGGTTTGATTTACGTATACTGTGAAATGATTACCACAATAGGTTCAGCTAACATCCATCTCCTCATATAGATACAATACAAAGAAAAGAAGAAAAGAAAAAAGGAAAAACAAATTTCTCCTTGTGATGAGAACTCAATGATTTAGTCTCTTAACAACTTTCCTCTATGTCATACGGCACTGTTAGCTACTGTCGTCATAATCAAAATGATAACAGTGCTTCTGTCTGGTGATGTGTATCCTTCCAATTTTTTCTTCCTGTATGTAAATATATATTATTGTATATAATTTAATATACAACAAATAATGATATAAATATGTTTCTTTAGAAACTGTGGATCAAACTATATGGACTTCTTGCCTTGCATTTTTTATATGACATAATATCATGTCCTCAACATTTTAAAAAATATTTTTAAAGGCTGTTGCAATATCTGGCTATATGATAATTTATATAGCTAGTCCCTTATGGTTGGATATTTGGTTATTTCTGACATTATGCTCTTTTAAATAACATTGTGATCAACTTTATTCTGTTTCTGCAGCCTGTCAGACAGGACTTCAGGGTCCATGAATCATTAATAATGACCCTTCCTTCTATCCACAGAACCCAGGACTTCTGGAGCTGAGACTGAGGTGTCCCCCTCCACACAGGTGAGCTTGTGTTCTTGTAAAAGAGTCAGGGCAGCAGCACCCAATGGTTAGGATGGTGGGCTGGCACCAGACAGGATTTGATTCAAATCCCGGCTCTGCCACTTAACTAGAAATATGGCCGTGGGCAAGTTACCTGTCCTTTTCAAATTTCTATGAAACATGGTAAAGCAGTTCTCTCATCCCAGGGCTGTTGGGGCCACGGAAAGTGTGGAGCACACTGGCCTGGCTCTCAGAACTGCTCTGGGTCTCGTGGCTGCTGTCTCCTCTCTGAGCTCCTTGGACACCACTAACGGCTTCGCTTGCAACTCAGACTCAGCTCATCCGAGCCCTTTCCCCTGTGGACTCCTGGTGTCATAATTTTCTGGAAAGAGGATTATCTCTGAAGCTGCTTAACAGATCCTTGAGTAATCCAGTTTCCCACCCAACTACATCTCCTCCTGTGGTCCTCAATTCCCTAAATGCTGAGCTAGGAGGCTCAGCCCCTCCCGGTGCTGGGCAGCACAGGGGAGGAGCCTGGGGTCCTGCACCTTACCCATATTCCATGCCTGACTGTCCCGCACTGGCAGAAGCAGCTCCAGGGTGAAGCCCATTCCTGTGGGGCCAGAGAGCATCCAACACAGGGTGTAGGGGAGCTGACCCTGACTGAGAACTTGCCAAGCCCCACTAGGCTCTGAGCCTTCCATTTGCAATCTCATTTGATCCTTACATTAACCTACATTCAAGGGCCAGGATGGTCATGCCTACAAAGGAGGAAAACTGACACCCATATGGATTAAGAAATCTTGCTCAAGGTCACATAGGTAGTAAGTGGTGGATCCAGGATTCTAGTCTGTGTTTTTCTCAGTAAGTGGTGGTACCTATGCCCTGGCACCAGACCCATAGGACGACTGCTGCTTCAGCGTATCTGCTGAGTATCTCCTCTGTGCAAGGTGCTGTGCCTTTCGGCTCCTAATGGAGAGGCAGTTGAGAAGAAACCCCTACCTCGAGTAGGCAAGGTGTAGATAAAAATAATGCAAATAATAGTGCAAAAGTTGAGAGTGACAGGTCAGAAATAGAGAGGTCCATGAGATAGAGTAAAGAAAGCCCTGGGTGGCTCAGGGAGCGGGTTAAGGAGAGGTGGCACCTGTGCTGGGTCCTGAATGATGGTGGAAACGGGCTTACAGTGAGGAATGTCTCTTTTAGGCATCTACTACTAATGAAGACAATGAAAATACTCCATTTAAAGATTCTGCAAATGCAACAAGCCTGCCAGGTAAGGACTGAATATTTTTATATTCCTGTAGGTCTAAGGGCGCAAAAGACTTGTCTCTGCAGAAAGTCCTTTCTTATTTGGAAATGTTGGCAGAGGGCCAGTCTGCTTAATGAAAGGGATCAATGGCAGAAATATTCTTTTGTTACTTTATACATCCAAGTTGATATTGTTACCTAAGATACAGTGAGGGGACCATAAGAAGAATGTGACAAATCAGTGAAATATTTCAGAATTGGCCCAGAATACAAATGAGTGTGCTACAGACAAAATCACTGGAGTCTGAAATGGAACACATGTGGAGGGAAATCTTTGTTTTGGAAGCCCTTGATTTCAGTGCTTCTGATTCTCTGTACCTGCAAGACTGGGAAAACTGACCGACATTTGCAGCAGGAAAGATCAGAGGTCCTGTGTTTGTTTTACTATATGTATGGGACTCATGGAGTCCAGACTCCGGAGGTTCAGTAGATGAGCAGCTCCATCTGATGGCTCTTGGGCTTTCTGAGGAAGTCCTTGGCCTCATTTCCCTTACCTGGGCAAATTGCCGCCTGCACCTGCTGCTGGCTGCCATGCTGTGCCATCCTGGTTGCAAAGCCCTCCCTAGTGCAGTGCACCTGGGGAGGACCTACTAAATACCTGGGGCTAAGCTCTGCCTGCACAGCTGTAGACTCAGGGAATTGAACCCATCCCTGCTCTCCAGGAGTCTACAGTCCAGTGGATGGGCTCTGGCAAAGAGTAAAGTAGTAACTGTAACAAAGAGCAGAGTGTGAGATGGGCCAAAAAGGAGGCCGAGAGAAAGTGTGGAAATTAATAAAAGAAACCTTAACTAAATTGGAGTCAGGAAGGCCTGTAGGAGGAGCTCTCAGGCCCTATCACACATCATCAGTTAAAGCGGGGCTTGCATCTTGGACAGAAGTAAAACTACTTTACTACTGAAGGAAGATTTCTCTCCCCACCCGGTAACAGCCCAGCCAATGAGAAACGCCACAGCTCAGCCAGTTGAGAAGCCGTTGCCACCCTGAACTGTTACTTTCCTCCAATGGACTTTCCTTTAGAACAGCCGCTCTCTGCTCCTCGTTTTTCTCTATAAAGGCAGTTCCCCTCCTTTGATTTCTGGATTTGCCTGTGGTTTGCCATAGCATGCACATCCAGAATTGCAATTCTTTTGGCTATTCCTGAATAAACTTGTTTTGAGGATAAAATAACAGGCAAGTTTGCTTTTTAAGTTGACAAAAGCGAAGTGGAGTTTAGAGACTTGGGAGAGCACGTTGAGTTGGGGGAATCACAGAAAGCTCATGGAGGAGGTGCCATTTGACATGAATCTTGAATAATATGGGTGGGCGGTTGGGGCAGCAGTTCAAGGGCTGCTGTGGAGGAGGGACCCTTGGGTCTTCATCCACTTTCACTGATGATTTCATCCAGCTCCATGTCTTTAAAGACTATCTATGGACTGATGACTCCCAAATTTATATCTCCTTCACCGACCTTTCCACTAAGACCAGACTCATGCATCCACTACCTAGTTGACAGGTCTACCTGGATACTTACTAGAAATCTCAAACTTAACATGGCTGACAGAACGCTTGATGCCTCCCCACCTCTCCAACCCAAATCTGTTCTTCTCCATCTTCCTCATCTCAGTAAGTGGCACCACATTCTGTGGGTTGCTGGGTCCAGGAGATCAGGCATGCTTCCTCTTCTACCCCTCGCCCCCTGTCCTGTCCCCCAGCAGGTCCTGTCAGTTGTACCTTGGACATGTCCAGAAGCTGACCACTTTTCACCACCTCCACTGCCAACACGTGGTCCAGCCACTGCTGTCTCTCCTCCTGCAGGACTCTGGGAGCTGCCTGCTGGTCTACTGGCCTTTATTCTTAACCTCCAGCAGACTCTTTGCCAACCAGCAGCCAGAGTGACTCTTGAAACACAAATCTTAGCTCTCCCTGTCTCCCACCATCTTCCCCAGAGTAAAAGCCAAAGTCCTGACAAAGGCCCTGGACTCTATGGGGTCAAGCCCCCTTTCGTTAGACCTTAACTCCTCCATTCTCGCTCTCACCCACTCTGCCCTCCTTGCTCTTCCACTCATGCTCTACCTCAGGGCCTTTGCACTTGCTGCTTGCTCTGCCTGGATGCTCTTCCCCTAACTTCCACTTGGCCAGCTCCTTTATACATCCAAGCCTCTGCTCTAATGCCCCCTTCTCAGGGAGGCCTTTCCCGACCACCGCATCTGACAGAGCCTTCCACTGTCACTCTCTCCCCTTCCTGCGCTTTACATTTCATCATTGCCCTTGTCATTGCTGATGTCATGTTACATACTTGTTTGTCTGTCTCCCTTGATTAGAATGTAAGATCCAGGAAGTCAGGAGCTTTTCTGTCATCTTTTTCTCTGTAACCCCAAGGCTGAGAACAAAGCCAGGCACGTGATAGACACTCAATAAATATTTGTTCAGTGAAAGAAGGAACAAATACAAAAGATGATAAATACTAGTAAATGAATAAGCCAAGCAGACTGCTTCCTTTAAATGGATGTCTCTGCCAAGAGATATGGGACATACTCGGAGAGACCTGTTCTTGCAGTCAATGCCCACTACCAGTCTAGACTCATGGCAAAGCCTGCATCCAGTGGGCACGTGAAGTGATGACTGGCAGGGGCAGAAGAGCCTGAACCCCGAGTCCATGCGACTGCAGGTACAGTGATGTGCTGCATAGTGATGTTTCAATCAACAATGGACCATATACGACAGTGGGCCCATGAGATTAGTACCATATAACCTAGGTGTGTAGTAGGCTATACCATCTAGGTTTGTGTAAGCACTGTAGGGGAAAAAGAAATTTTCCTCTACCCTTCTAGGTTCTTCTGGCTGGTTTAAGAATTAAATTGACATGAGACAGATTAGCAGGAGAAAAACAAACTAAAGTTTAATAACACATATACATGGGAGAAACCCAGGAATACCAAGTAACTCCCCCAAATGGCCGAAGCTCTCACCTTAAATTCCATCCTCCGCTAAAGACAAAAGAAGATGTTGGGGGTGGGGAGAGTCGGACTTCAAAGGGAAGGAAGGCAACTCAAGTGGGTGAAAAGGAGCAAATGTTTGGAAAACAAATGTTTGTTTGGCCACACAGAAACAGAACACAGAGGGGACCCCAACAAACAGGCTTTTCTAGGTTCCTCCCTGTCTACCACCTAGTTCACGTTATGCTAAGGTGATAAGTTATTTCCTGAGGCAGATTTTTTTATCTGAATTCTTTTAGGCAGTTAGGGAGAGGTAACAAGAAAAACTTTCTGAGTCTTTTGTTTCTTAAAAATAATCAGTCTAAATTAATCCTCATGTTAAAGAGACTCATTTTGGGGTGCCAAATTTTGTTCCCCTTCAGTGTACTCTATGATGTTCACACAATGACAAAATCGTCTAATGGTGCATTTCTCAACAGGCATCCCTGTCGTTAAGTGGCGCATGACTGTGTCTGCCTTCTCAGCGGGAGAGAATGAGGGTTTTGTTAGATGTACTCTCTGTCCAGTCCAGGGTGTCTCTCTGGCAGCCGTAGGCGGGACCTTTTGGTGGAAGGACACGGCTGCTTGTGAAGCTAGTTTGTTCTTTCATTCCTTCAGTGGAATATTTTGGTGAGCCTGCTTTGTGCTAGGCCCTGGGTGAGCAGTTGGGAGAGTAACAGTGAACGAGACACCCATGGTCCCTGCTTTCAGGGAGCTCCGTCTAGAGGTGGAGCTGGAGAAGTCACCAGGAGGGGCGCTTACCCAGCTTGCAGCAAGGCCACTTCTCAAAGGAAGTGACATCACCTCATCTGAGACCCAAAGGCCAAGGTGGGACTGGACAGCAAAGTGGGAGGCAGGGAAGGTGGGAAGAGCATTCCAGGAGAGAAGAGAGAACGTGCGTGGAGAGCCCTGGGAGGAGAGAGAACACGGCATGTAGAAGAACGAGTGAAGCTCATCTGGCTGTGGCTTGAGTACCAAGTGCGGAGACAGGCAAGAGATGACACCCCAGTGGTGAACACTGTACCCAAATACTTGATTTAAAGCACATGAAGGGGCTGGCCGGCCCCGTGGCTTAGTGGTTAAGTGCGCGCGCTCCACTACTGGCGGCCCAGGTTCCGATCCCAGGCGCGCACCGACGCACCGCTTCTCCGGCCATGCTGAGGCCGCGTCCCACATACAGTAACTAGAAGGATGTGCAACTATGACATACAACTATCTACTGGGGCTTTGGGGAAAAAACAAAGGAGGAGGATTGGCAATAGATGTTAGCTCAGAGCCG